AGAGTTTTGAGGGTTTTGGGTGATTTTTGGGTGGTGAATATGATTCTGATAGTATGAAAATGTGATTAGGATTCTGAGATGCTAAAAGTTCCAAAAATATTTTGAGATTTGTGAGTGAAAAAGGTGATTTTTCAAAATAACCTAATTTTTTTGTTGAACTTTAGCTCAAAGCTTGATTGATTCAGAAATAAAAATGTTTATTTTTGCTTTTTTAGTCGATTTTTGAGAATAAGATTCTAGATTTCTATCAAAATCCTGAAATTTCTTCAAAAAATTCGATTTTTTCTTCAAATTTTCTTCAAAAATTCAAATTTAAAGCTAGAAAAATTCAGAGCAATTTTTATTTCAAGATTCCAGCTGAAAAACCTCGAATTTTCACTGAAATTCAGGTTTTCGGGCAAAAAATAGCTGTTTCTCTCGAAATTTAACAAAATTTAGCGAATTTTTGCTCACAAACTTGAAAAATCGATTTTTTTTTCAAATTTCAGGCTTTTAAAGGCTTCCTTTACCATTTTCAAGGTCCTAATTTCAAAATACAGGTTTCTTGGTTATTTTTAAGCTTCTGAGCTCAAAAAAACCGGGGTTTAGACCAAAAATTAAGCCCATAGATCATTTTTTGCTTTTGAGCTCAAACATTTGAGTTTCTAGGGCATTTTTGATGCAAAATTTGACCTACAGTAATCCCATAAACATACAAAATATTCAGCTGGCAGCAAATACATTGGACCGGAAAAATAACAGCAGAATTCTTTTCGAAATAGTATCTGCAAGAAAATTCCAATTAAAACTACGGATTTTTGATTTTTCGGAACAATACAAAATAAAACTGACCAAATAAAAACGGAGGAGAAAAAATGAAGAATTGAGCAGAGTTTCGAGCAAATCTGAAAAAATGTGGATTTTTGTGAAAGTTTCAGGATTTTTCGGCTGAAAATCACAGAAAATTTAGAAACTCACAAACCATAAACCAAAAATTGCAAATTTTCTGAATTTTTCACAAAAAAATTGCCAGAAAACAGAAAATGAAAATGATTTTTATTCATCCCAAAACAATGAAACACGGATTTTTGAAACGTGACATTGTTTCGATGAAATAATGATAAAGATCTTACGTGTTCCACATTTTTGGGGCTATAAAAGAGGCGGCTCAGAACATCACTCTATTTTTGTGATATGACTGATTCCAAAAACATAATACTCGTGTGCAAACACGTTTGCCACATTCATAAGCCGGAGGAGACTCCCCAAATCATAATTGTTGGAATTGAAGAGGAGGAAGCAGCTTTGAAAAAAAAAAAAGCGAATACTCGGATTGTCAAGTCTTCTTCGAAATCAAGTAACGCATCTTCCACATCAAAGAAATATAAGAGAGAGGTTAAAAAGAAGAAAGATGGAAAGAAAGAAGAGAAGTGATCTAATAGAAAGTGATCTAATAAATATTCATTTTTGGTCAATTGTTTTTCCTCTATTGTTTATCGTCTAATGTTTTTCCTCTATCTTAGTGTTTATCGTTTTTAGTGTTTATCCTCTATAATGTTTTTCGTTTTTTAAAGGTGTTTTCAAAAATTTTCTGGCAAGATTTTCGGCCAAGCAGAATTTGATGAGAGGTCTGAAATTTCAGGAATTTCAGATCAGAATCACGTGAAAATCAAAATTTTCAAAAAATTTCTAGTTTTTTGCTACAAATGTTTTCAGACATGCTGAAAACGATGGGATAACTGAAATTTTGAGAATTTCAGCTTTTCAACCAGAATCACGTGATTTTCACGTGAAAATTGAAATTTTCAAAAAATTTCTAGTTTTTTGCTACAAATGTTTTCAGACATGCTGAAAACGATGGGATGACTGAAATTTCAAGATAATCAAACTATAGACGTGTTCAAAAGACGACAAAAATCAAACTGAACTTTTTCAAAATAAAATTCATATAAAATTTAAATTAAAATCATTTAAAATCCAGCGTTTGGCGGAGGCGATTCCTGCGGTCGGACGATTAAACCTGAAAAAATCGAATAAATCATAATTCTAGTTTTTCAATTTTTTTCTGGAAAATTGTGGGAACTAGAACTACGTTCCTAACCCAAGTTTGATAACTTTTTGGAAGAAAACTATATCAGTATTGTTATAAGGCTCTAGGGAAATGTTTAATTTCATTATAATCCTATAGGAGTAAGCCACTGTTGGAAAATTGGAAGCTAATTTTAAGAGAGAACTTGGTTCTAGGATTTACAGGGAAAATGTCCGTATTTCTTGAGATCTGATTAAATCTTATTGATAAAAGAAATTTCAGGCCCAAAATCAGGGCTTTTTATTAGATTTTAGATTTCAAGCTTGAAATCTAAGATTTTCCTCAAACTCCATGCCTGAAATCTGGGCTATTTCTTAGATTTTTGATTGCAGGCCTGAAATCTGAGCTTTTTCTCAAATTTCAAACCTGAAACCTACGCTATAGGTTTTTAATTTAAAACTTTATGATTTTTGGCTGAAATTCTAGCTTTTACTCAACCCAAAAGCTCGTACTTTCGCATTTCGAGCTTTTGGGTTCAGGAAAAGCTAAAACTTTCAGTTTTTCAAAATTTTATTTGATTTTTCCCCAAAACCATCCCAAAATACTTACATTTCAATCAAAATCCCTTGTCGAATCCATCAATTGTTGAGCTGACTGCCGAAATCTGGAAAAATACATTTTTCTCTCTAAATTTTGAATAAAAATTTAAAAAAAAATAAACTTACATTTCGATATTCGTCCTATGTTGTTGTTGCATTTGGTGCTGGTCTGCAAAAAATAAATAGATAAAAGTGAATAGGTTCCAATAGTGAATTCTCTCTAAAACTCTTCAATAGGGCTGGAATTGAGTCACAAATAAGTGTGAAAATCGACAAAATTCAACGTAAAAACGGAAGATTCCAGATTTTTCAATTGAAAATTAGATCAAACTAGTTATACTCTAGGTGAGAGTGAGAAATCGTGAAACATTTCACTTGGAAAAATCATGAAAACCCCATAATTTGTAAAATAACTCACATTTTTATCGAATTCTCCATAATTTCGTCGATTTCGTCGTCTTCGCAGTCGGTGTGCGACTCCTTCTCATCTGTAAAAAATACTCATCAAAAAATCAAGTCACAAAAATAAGTTTTCAACAGAAAAAAAGCTTTTCAAGCGTAAAAACTGGAAAAAAAAAGAAAAAATTGGCCTAAAATAATTGGCAAACATCCAATTGTTGGTATCCTAGGCCATTGGCCGATGTTCCTTGAAATTTTTAGGCCATCATTCAATTTATTTTTTTCTTTTTTTTTCGTTTTTTCTTGTGTTTTCCTCGTTTCATATAGAAATTGTATATTTAATGCTGCGAAAAACACATAAAACGTGTTTCCCGTATAAAATCACAGATGAAATTTCATGAAAACTTTGAAATTGACCTATTTCGCATGAATTTAGGCCAAAAAACTGAAATGTTCATTTTTTGATTTTTTTTTAAATTTTTTGATAATAGAACGACGTTACTTTGTAGTTTCACTCAATTTCAGCCCTATTAAAGAGTTTTAGGAGAGAATTCACTATTGGAACCTATTAACTTTTATCTTTATTTATTTAATCATCTATTTATTTTTTGCAGATATCTGATCTAGATCTAGATCAACCAAATGCAACAACAACATAGGACGAATATCGAAATGTAAGTTTATTTTTTTTTAAATTTTTATTCAAAATTTAGAGAGAAAAATGTATTTTTCCAGATTTCGGCAGTCAGCTCAACAATTGATGGATTCGACAAGGGATTTTGATTGAAATGTAAGTATTTTGGGATGGTTTTGGGGAAAAATCAAATAAAATTTTGAAAAACTGAAAGTTTTAGCTTTTCCTGAACCCAAAAGCTCGAAATGCGAAAGTACGAGATTTTGGGTTGAGTAAAAGCTAGAATTTCAGCCAAAAATCATAAAGTTTTAAATTAAAAACCTATAGCGTAGGTTTCAGGTTTGAAATTTGAGAAAAAGCTCAGATTTCAGGCCTGCAATCAAAAATCTAAGAAATAGCCCAGATTTCAGGCATGGAGTTTGAGGAAAATCTTAGATTTCAAGCTTGAAATCTAAAATCTAATAAAAAGCCCTGATTTTGGGCCTGAAATTTCTTTTATCAATAAGATTTAATCAGATCTCAAGAAATACGGACATTTTCCCTGTAAATCCTAGAACCAAGTTCTCTCTTAAAATTAGCTTCCAATTTTCCAACAGTGGCTTACTCCTATAGGATTATAATGAAATTAAACATTTCCCTAGAGCCTTATAACAATACTGATATAGTTTTCTTCCAAAAAGTTATCAAACTTGGGTTAGGAACGTAGTTCTAGTTCCCACAATTTTCCAGAAAAAAATTGAAAAACTAGAATTATGATTTATTCGATTTTTTCAGGTTTAATCGTCCGACCGCAGGAATCGCCTCCGCCAAACGCTGGATTTTAAATGATTTTAATTTAAATTTTATATGAATTTTATTTTGAAAAAGTTCAGTTTGATTTTTGTCGTCTTTTGAACACGTCTATAGTTTGATTATCTTGAAATTTCAGTCATCCCATCGTTTTCAGCATGTCTGAAAACATTTGTAGCAAAAAACTAGAAATTTTTTGAAAATTTCAATTTTCACGTGAAAATCACGTGATTCTGGTTGAAAAGCTGAAATTCTCAAAATTTCAGTTATCCCATCGTTTTCAGCATGTCTGAAAACATTTGTAGCAAAAAACTAGAAATTTTTTGAAAATTTTGATTTTCACGTGATTCTGATCTGAAATTCCTGAAATTTCAGACCTCTCATCAAATTCTGCTTGGCCGAAAATCTTGCCAGAAAATTTTTGAAAACACCTTTAAAAAACGAAAAACATTATAGAGGATAAACACTAAAAACGATAAACACTAAGATAGAGGAAAAACATTAGACGATAAACAATAGAGGAAAAACAATTGACCAAAAATGAATATTTATTAGATCACTTTCACTTCTCTCACTTCTCTTCTTTCTTTCCATCTTTCTTCTTTTTAACCTCTCTCTTATTTTTCTTTGATGTGGAAGATGCGTTACTTGATTTCGAAGAAGACTTGACAATCCGAGTATTCGCTTTTTTTTTCAAAGCTGCTTCCTCCTCTTCAATTCCAACAATTATGATTTGGGGAGTCTCCTGCGGCTTATGAATGTGGCAAACGTGTTTGCACACGAGTATTATGTTTTTGGAATCAGTCATATCACAAAAATAGAGTGATGTTCTGAGCCGCCTCTTTTATAGCCCCAAAAATGTGGAACACGTAAGATCTTTATCATTATTTCATCGAAACAATGTCACGTTTCAAAAATCCGTGTTTCATTGTTTTGGGATGAATAAAAATCATTTTCATTTTCTGTTTTCTGGCAATTTTTTTGTGAAAAATTCAGAAAATTTGCAATTTTTGGTTTATGGTTTGTGAGTTTCTAAATTTTCTGTGATTTTCAGCCGAAAAAATCCTGAAACTTTCACAAAAATCCACATTTTTTCAGATTTGCTCGAAACTCTGCTCAATTCTTCATTTTTTCTCCTCCGTTTTTATTTGGTCAGTTTTATTTTGTATTGTTCCGAAAAATCAAAAATCCGTAGTTTTAATTGGAATTTTCTTGCAGATACTATTTCGAAAAGAATTCTGCTGTTATTTTTCCGGTCCAATGTATTTGCTGCCAGCTGAATATTTTGTATGTTTATGGGATTACTGTAGGTCAAATTTTGCATCAAAAATGCCCTAGAAACTCAAATGTTTGAGCTCAAAAGCAAAAAATGATCTATGGGCTTAATTTTTGGTCTAAACCCCGGTTTTTTTGAGCTCAGAAGCTTAAAAATAACCAAGAAACCTGTATTTTGAAATTAGGACCTTGAAAATGGTAAAGGAAGCCTTTAAAAGCCTGAAATTTGAAAAAAAAATCGATTTTTCAAGTTTGTGAGCAAAAATTCGCTAAATTTTGTTAAATTTCGAGAGAAACAGCTATTTTTTGCCCGAAAACCTGAATTTCAGTGAAAATTCGAGGTTTTTCAGCTGGAATCTTGAAATAAAAATTGCTCTGAATTTTTCTAGCTTTAAATTTGAATTTTTGAAGAAAATTTGAAGAAAAAAATCGAATTTTTGAAGAAATTTCAGGATTTTGATAGAAATCTAGAATCTTATTCTCAAAAATCGACTAAAAAAGCAAAAATAAACATTTTTATTTCTGAATCAATCAAGCTTTGAGCTAAAGTTCAACAAAAAAATTAGGTTATTTTGAAAAATCACCTTTTTCACTCACAAATCTCAAAATATTTTTGGAACTTTTAGCATCTCAGAATCCTAATCACATTTTCATACTATCAGAATCATATTCACCACCCAAAAATCACCCAAAACCCTCAAAACTCTGAATTTTCCCAAGAAAATATTTCATTATGCAAAATAAAATTCAAAAAATTGTATTCATTTTTCATTTTTAACGTGTCCTTTTCTTATCGCCCGCCCAAATCAAAAATGCCACGTCATAAAAAAAAGCTGGAATTATTTCATTCAAAAAGATTTTTTTTTTTTCAATTTATCAATCATTGCTCGGATTTAATATGAGAAATGCTTGAAAATAGTGCTTTTCAAATAAAACCCCGAATTTTTCTGCTAATTTTTAATATGAGCAATGAGTAGTAAATTTAACTGAAAACGCTGATAACATTGATTTTCAGCAATTTCAAGTAATTTCAGCCTTTTCAGCACAAAATTTGAGTCAGGAAATGTTTTAGAATTTTTTCTGGAAAAATTGTTCAAGAAAAAATTTTGCGAAAATTTTTTCAGCCACAAAAAATAGGTGAAAATATCTGAAATTTTTAGCTTGAATTTTGTCACGTGTACTCTACAGTAATCCCCTCAAAAATTCTGAAAAAATGACATTCTGTGTGAAATTAGAATGAAAAGTCTAATATGAGCAAAGCTGAATTTATAACTGAAAATGAGCAATATTTGAAAAATTAAAATAATCTACCTTAGGGACCTTCCTAACTGCTTTTGGAAAAAAATCATTTTCATTTTATGTTTTCTGGTAATTTTTTGTGAAAATTCAGAAAATTTGCAATTTTTGGTTAATGGTTTGTTTAAGAAAAACAAGTTTCGAAAAACCTTTTGAGCTACAAAAAAATGACTTAAAACATCTGACATTTTTATCGTGCTTCTGCGGCTTCGATGTTTTCCGGCGATAAAAGTTAGAATGTAGCAATCGAATCCTGAAAAAAGTCTGCAAATTAACATTACACGGTGTGTTGAGTTAAAAAGCAGACCACCGTGGTCTGCAAATTAACTTTGCATGGTGTGTTGAGTTAAAAAGCAGACCACCGTGGTCTGCAAATTAACTTTGCATGGTGTGTTGAGTTAAAAAGCAGACCACCGTGGTCTGCAAATTAACTTTGCACGCCTTTTTGAATTAAAATACAGACCACCGTGGTCTGCAAATTAACTTTGCATGGTGGGTTGAGTTAAAAAGCAGACCACCGTGGTCTGCAAATTAACTTTGCATGGTGTGTTGAGTTAAAAAGCAGACCACCGTGGTCTGCAAATTAACTTTGCACGCCTTTTTGAATTAAAAAGCAGACCACCGTGGTCTGCAAATTAACTTTGCATGGTGTGTTGAGTTAAAAAGCAGACCACCGTGGTCTGCAAATTAACTTTGCAAGGTGGGTTGAGTTAAAAGCAGACCACCGTGGTCTGCAAATTAACTTTGCAAGGTGTGTTGAGTTAAAAAGCAGACCACCGTGGTCTGCAAATTAACTTTGCATGGTGTGTTGAGTTAAAAAGCAGACCACCGTGGTCTGCAAATTAACTTTGCACGCCTTTTTGAATTAAAAAGCAGACCACCGTGGTCTGCAAATTAACTTTGCATGGTGTGTTGAGTTAAAAAGCAGACCACCGTGGTCTGCAAATTAACTTTGCAAGGTGTGTTGAGTTAAAAAGCAGACCACCGTGGTCTGCAAATTAACTTTGCATGGTGGGTTGAGTTAAAAAGCAGACCACCGTGGTCTGCAAATTAACTTTGCAAGGTGTGTTGAGTTAAAAAGCAGACCACCGTGGTCTGCAAATTAACTTTGCATGGTGTGTTGAGTTAAAAAGCAGACCACCGTGGTCTGCAAATTAACTTTGCAAGGTGTGTTGAGTTAAAAAGCAGACCACCGTGGTCTGCAAATTAACTTTGCATGGTGGGTTGAGTTAAAAAGCAGACCACCGTGGTCTGCAAATTAACTTTGCATGGTGGGTTGAGTTAAAAAGCAGACCACCGTGGTCTGCAAATTAACTTTGCAAGGTGTGTTGAGTTAAAAAGCAGACCACCGTGGTCTGCAAATTAACTTTGCATGGTGTGTTGAGTTAAAAAGCAGACCACCGTGGTCTGCAAATTAACTTTGCACGCCTTTTTGAATTAAAAAGCAGACCACCGTGGTCTGCAAATTAACTTTGCATGGTGTGTTGAGTTAAAAAGCAGACCACCGTGGTCTGCAAATTAACTTTGCAAGGTGTGTTGAGTTAAAAAGCAGACCACCGTGGTCTGCAAATTAACTTTGCATGGTGTGTTGAGTTAAAAAGCAGACCACGGTGGTCTGCAAATTAACTTTGCATGGTGTGTTGAGTTAAAAAGCAGACCACGGTGGTCTGCAAATTGACTTTGCACGCTTTTTTGAGTTGAAAAGCAGACCACCGTGGTCTGCAAATTAACTTTGCATGGTGTGTTGAGTTAAAAAGCAGACCACCGTGGTCTGCAAATTAACTTTGCATGGTGTGTTGAGTTAAAAAGCAGACCACGGTGGTCTGCAAATTAACTTTGCATGGTGTGTTGAGTTAAAAAGCAGACCACCGTGGTCTGCAAATTAACTTTGCACGCTTTTTTTATTAAAAAGCAGACCACCGTGGTCTGCAAATTAACTTTGCACGCTTTTTTTATTAAAAAGCAGACCACCGTGGTCTGCAAATTAACTTTGCACGCTTTTTTATTAAAAAGCAGACCACCGTGGTCTGCAAATTAACTTTGCATGGTGTGTTGAGTTAAAAAGCAGACCACCGTGGTCTGCAAATTAACTTTTTTTTTGATTTTTCGGAACAATACAAAACAAAACTGACAAAATAAAAACGGCATGAAGGGAAAAAAATAAAGAATTGAGAAGAGTTTCGAGCAAATCTGAAAAAATGTGGATTTTTGTGAAAGTTTCAGGATTTTTTTGGCTGAAAATCACAGAAAATTTAGAAACTCACAAACCATAAACCAAAAATTGCAAATTTTCTGAATTTTCACAAAAAAAATACCAGAAAACAGAAAATGAAAATGATTTTTATTCATCCCAAAACAATGAAACACGGATTTTTGAAACGTGACATTGTTTCGATGAAATAATGATAAAGATCTTACGTGTTCCACATTTTTGGGGCTATAAAAGAGGCGGCTCAATGAACATCACTTTATTTTCGTCAGGCTCCGGCTCCGTGAATATTTCTAATAACTCCAGTGATTATATGCGAACCTACAATAATGTGCGAACCTACGTAAGAGAAAAGAAAGGAACAGAGTAATTTATTGAAGTATATATTCTTTCAGTGATTCCAAAAACGTGATCTTGGTGTGCAAACATTCTTGCCACGTTCATAAGCCGCAGGAATCACCGCAAATTATAATTGTTGGTATTGAACATAAACAAGAAGAGGAGGCAACAGATTTGAGAAAAAAAAAGCGTCTACTCGAATTGTTCAATCTTCTTCCCAATCAAGCTATGCATCGTCAACATCAAAAAAAAATAAGAAAGAGGCCAAAAAGAAGAGAGATGGCAAGAAAGAAGAGAGAGGAAAGTGATCCAATAGAAAAATGAATATTTGTGTATCCTCTGTTTTTCATCTAATGTTTATCATCCCGCTTAATGTATTTCATCCTTAACGTTTTTACTACTTAATGTTTATCGTTGGATTTAATGTTTTTCACCGAAATTATCGTTTTTCGTTTTTTTAAACAATTTTCACCAAAGATAATTTTAAGAAGCCACGCCTTTTTAATTTGCAAATTTGAAGAGAAACTGAGAAAAAGACAAATCGAACTGCAAAATTTTTTCGCGCTGCAATTCCAGTCAAAAATATATTCATTTTCCATTTTTAAAAACTTTTTCTTACGGTTTTTCTTCTTCAATTCCGTATTTTTTATCTATTTTTACGCGCGACAAGCAGAAAAAGGCGAGAGAAACAGCCGAAAAAAATGGAAAATGAATGAATTTTTGACTGGTATTGCAGCGCGAAAAAATTTGCAGTTCGATTTGTCTTTTTCTCAGTTTCTCTTCAAATTTGCAAATTTTCCTTGTTTCAAAAAGGCGTGAAGCCGATTTTTTAACGAATTTTAGATGGGATTTTCGATATACACCACTTAGCAATCCGCCCCGTAATTACATTGTAAATTGGAGTGAGTTGTGATTACATTGATGTTACAACGTAAATACAGAGTTGAATTTTGCAAAATTGTAATCACATTGTATTTCCACACTCTTTACAATTTGGGTGAAAACTGTAATTACATCGAACACATTTTGTAATTTCTTTGTAACGTGGGTCTCGTTGCGAAGACGCTCAAGCAACGCGCTGCTGTTCATTTCGAAACAATTTTCTTGTTTTTTTTTCCAAAGATAATTTTAAGAAGCCGATTTTTTAACGAATTTTAGATGGGATTTTCGATATACACCACTTAGCAATCCGCCCCGTAATTACATTGTAAATTGGAGTGAGTTGTGATTACATTGATGTTACAACGTAAATACAGAGTTGAATTTTGCAAAATTGTAATCACATTGTATTTCCACACTCTTTACAATTTGGGTGAAAACTGTAATTACATCGAACACATTTTGTAATTTCTTTGTAACGTGGGTCTCGTTGCGAAGACGCTCAAGCAACGCGCTGCTGTTCATTTCGAAACAATTTTCTTGTTTTTTTCCAAAGATAATTTTAAGAAGCCGATTTTTTAACGAATTTTAGATGGGATTTTCGATATACACCACTTAGCAATCCGCCCCGTAATTACATTGTAAATTGGAGTGAGTTGTGATTACATTGATGTTACAACGTAAATACAGAGTTGAATTTTGCAAAATTGTAATCACATTGTATTTCCACACTCTTTACAATTTGGGTGAAAACTGTAATTACATCGAACACATTTTGTAATTTCTTTGTAACGTGGGTCTCGTTGCGAAGACGCTCAAGCAACGCGCTGCTGTTCATTTCGAAACAATTTTCTTGTTTTTTTTTCCAAAGATAATTTTAAGAAGCCGATTTTTTAACGAATTTTAGATGGGATTTTCGATATACACCAGGAGACGTGGCCTAGTTTCCCGTTGGTTTGCTAGGCCACGTCCACACATTTCAGGTTTTTCCGGGGGAACGCTGTTTTTCTTGGTTTTTTTGAGATTTTCTGGATATTTTTGTGTAGTTTCATTGTCTAATGAATGTTTTTTTGTTTTTCGGCAAAAATTTGAATTTTTCGGTGAAAAATTTTCAGAGAGAGCGAGAGAGAGAGAGGAATGGTGGAAGAAAATGCGCCGCCAAAACCCGTTTTTGGCGTATCGAAACCGATTTCTGATGCGATGCCTGAGGAGAAAAATGTGGCTATGACGGAAATTGTGAGTTTTGAGGGGCTTCTGATTAAAATGATGCAATCTTTGATGAAATTTCGCTCCAGGGGCCGAATTTACTAAAGTGGTATACCAAAAATTAATGAAGAAAAAATTGGGCGTACAAAAATTGCTGAACAAATTTTTTTGGTACACCAAATTTTTCTTCATTAATTTTTGGTATACCACTTTAGTAAATTCGGCCCCAGGACCTTGAAAAACATGGAAATTATGATTGCTTGGCTTCTGGAGCGAAATTTGATGATTTTCTGGGCCCTGAAGCGAAAAAGCATGCAATTTTTGCTTCTGAACCTTAAAAATCACAATTTTTCTGATTTTAAGGTCCTGAAGCGGAAATCTGGGATTTTTGAGGTCCTGAAGGGAAAAATGATGCAAGTTTTGGGTCTTGGAGCGATTTTTCGATGAAATTCTGCTTCAGGACCTTGATAAACATGGAAATGATGATTTTCTGGGTCCCGAAGCGAAATTTGATGAATTTTTCGCTCCAAGACTTCAAAAATCATCAAAATTTCCCTTGAGAGCTTAAAAATCATCATTTTTCCCATCGGGACCTTAAAAATATCTATTTCTCTGATTATTAAGGTACTGAAGCAAAATTTGATGATTTTTCTGCTTCGGGACCTCAAAAATGATGAAATTTCGCTCCAGGATTCAGAAAATCGCCCATTTTCGCTCTGAGACCTCAAAAAACACAAAAATGATGATTTTTGAGGCCCTGAAGCGAAATTTAATGATTTTTTTGTTTCAGGGCCTTGAAAATCATCATTTTTTTGCTTCCAGACCCGTAAGTTTATTAAAATGATGATTTTTCTATATTGAGACGAAAAATCATCACTTTTCGCTCTCTGACCTCAAAAAAACATCATTTCCAGCTCCTGAAAATCATCATTTTTCTGATTTTCGAGGTCCTAAAGCGAAATTTGATGATTTTTTTCCTCTCGAGACCCAAAAATCCATCAAAAGTGCCCTTGAGAGCTTAAAAATCATAATTTCTCTGATTTCTAAGGTTCTGAAGCGAAAATTGATGGTTTTTTTTGCTCCAGGACCTTGAAAAATCATCAAAATTTCCCTTAATTACTCTGTTCCTTTCTTTTCTCTTATCTCGAATTTTCACTCATATCAAAATGTAGAATAATCACAAGCCTGACGATTGGAAGAAGCCTGACGAGCCTGACGAGCCTGAGCACTCCTAGGGACCAATTTCGTTGGAAAATGCTTAAAGCAAGATTTTTGGTCAAGGAACTCTTCATCTAATTTTTATCAAGAATTTTATCAGAAGACTGAAAATATCTGAAATTTTGGGCTTTCATTTTGCCACGTGTACAGTTTCTGAAGTCATTGTAGAACAATGAGTTTCTATCAAAAAGCACTTTTTTCTTGAAAATCGCATAAATTTGCTTTTCTTCAATAAAAAATCAGAATTTTCAAGTTTTTCATTGAAGAAAAGCTAAATATCCGAGATTTTTCGAAGTGGACGCTGAAAATCAAGATTTTCATTGCGTTTGGAGCTGAAAATCTGGGAATTTCAGCTTGTTGTTGATTTTTGTGAAATTTTCAGGATTTTTTGGCTGAAAATCACAGAAAATTTAGAAGAAGAGGCGGCTCAGTCAGTTATCACTTTATTTTCGAAAATTTATGATAGAAATACTAGAAAACTTCGCAATCCACAACATTTTCAATATTTTTGAAACGTACTTTTTCCACGCGGATTTTTTTGGATAATATTTTCTGATTTTTTCAGAATTTTTGAGGGGATTACTGTAGAGTACACGTGGCAAAATTAAAGTTTAAAATTTCAGATATTTTCAGCCATTTTTTGGGGCTGAAAATGTTTATCACAAACTTTTTTTTTTGTTGATGGGGCTATTCAAGTTATTTTCTCAACGCTGAGAAAAGCGAAGAAAACCTATTCAGGTAGGCTGAGAAAATACGAAAAAAGTGAAGAAAATGCATTTTCTCCGCTTTTCTCCTGTTTTCTCAGCGTGTTGAGAAAATACTTGAATAGCCCCATGATCAATTTTTCCAGAAAAAAGTTCAAAAACATTTCCTGGCTCAAATTTTTTTGCTGAAAATGCTGAAATTACTTTAAATTGCTAAAAATCAATGTTTCCAGCGTTTTCAGCAGAAAATTTGAGTCTAGAATCTTGATCTGATCAAATTCTTGAAAATAACCCCCTTGACCAAAAATTTCACTTCAAAAACAATTCCAGATCCAAATTTTGTGCTGAAAATGCTGGAAAAATTTATATTAGCTGACAATCGATATTTTCATTATATTCAGCACAAAATTTGAGTCAGGAAATGTTTTTGAATTTTTTTCTGGAAATTTGATCAAGAAAAAAAACGTTTGCGAAAAAAAAATTCAGCCACAATAAATGGCTGAAAATATCTGAAATTTTAAGCTTTAATTTTGCCACGTGTACTCTACAGTAATCTCCTCAAAAATTCTGACAAAATCAGAAAATATTATCCAAAAAAATCCGGGTGGAAAATGTACGTTTCAAAAATATTGGAAATATTTCTGCTGAGTGGATTGAGCCGTTGACGATGCGTATCTTGATTGTCTGAAGATTCTGGATTGTTTTGCTCCTTTTCATGAATTCGAATGGTTCCATTTGTTTTCCTCAATTTTATTTTTTCCTCTTCTTCTTCTTTTTCAACACCAATGAAGATAATTGTCGGTGTAGGTTCTGGCTTATGGTAGTCACATTCGTGCTTGCATATTTTAATGATTTGCTTGGATTTTTTGTCAGCCTTTTTTTTTGTCAGCCTAATCTCATTTTTGTCAGCCTAATCTGAAAGAATATATACTTCCACAGGCAATTACAGATCAGCTTATTATTAGTCTATTATTAACTTATTTTGAAATTTGGCTTATTATAGGCTAATACGGTACATATTATTAGTCAAAAATCGATGAAATTTTCTAAATCTAGCCCAAAATTAGCAAAAGCCGTGTTATGATCAATTTGAAAGTGAGAAATAGGAAATTACATTCATCTAAGAATTCTAGAGTTCAATCAGAGGTCCAGAGATCCCTAAACTTCAGACTCATTTTTGACTAATAACAAGCTTATTAGTAATTATTAGTAACTTATTAGTCAAAAATAAGTCTGAATTTTAGGGATCTCTGGACGTCTAAAATTGTTAGATAAATGTAATTTCCTATTTCTCACTTTCAACTTGATCATAGAGCAGCTTTTGCTAATTTTGGGCTTGATTTAGAAAGAGAAAAAAATAAAGAATTGAGAAGAGTTTCGAGCAAATCTGAAAAAATGTGGATTTTTGTGAAAGTTTCAGGATTTTTTTGGCTGAAAATCACAGAAAATTTAGAAACTCACAAACCATAAACCAAAAATTGCAAATTTTCTGAATTTTCACAAAAAAAATACCAGAAAACAGAAAATGAAAAAGATTTTTTTTCATCCCAAAACAATGAAACACGGATTTTTGAAACGTGACATTGTTTCGATGAAATAATGATAAAGATCTTACGTGTTCCACATTTTTGGGGCTATAAAAGAGGCGGCTCAGAACATCACTCTATTTTTGTCAGAACATCACTCTATTTACTGCTCCATCCACTCAGCGGAAATATTTCCAATATTTTTGAAACGTACATTTTCCACCCGGATATTTTTGGATAATATTTTCTGATTTTTTCAGAATTTTTGAGGGGATTACTGTAGAGTACACGTGGCAAAATTAAAGCTAAAAATTTCAGATATTTTCAGCCATTTTTTGTGGCTGAAAATTTTTTCGCAAACGTTTTTTTTCTTGATCAAATTTCCAGAAAAAAAGTTGGAAAACATTTCCTGACTCAAATTTTGTGCTGAAAATGATGAAAATATCGATTGTCAGCTATTATAAATTTTTCCAGCATTTTCAGCACCAAATTTTGATCAGAAAATGATTTTGAAGTGAAGGTTTTGGTCAAAGGGGTTATTTTCAAGAATTTAATCAGATCAACATTCTAGACTTAAATTTTCTGCTGAAAACGCTGGAAACATTGATTTTTAGCAATTTTGAGTAATTCCAGCATTTTCAGCAAAAAAATTTGAGCCAGGAAATGTTTTTGAACTTTTTTCTGGAAAAATTGACCTAGAAAAAAAATTTGTGAAAAAATTTTTCAGCCCCAAAAAAATGGCTGAAAATATCTGAAATTTTAAACTTTAATTTTGCCACGTGTACTCTACAGTAATCCCCTCAAAAATTCTGACAAAATCAGAAAATATTATCCAAAAAAATCCGCGTGGAAAATGTACGTTTCAAAAACAATCGGAAAGAAATCCGGAGAGGTGCAAAAATCGTTTAGTGACATGAATGTTTACAAATATAAATTAATTTGCAATTATTTGAACTGAAAGAATATATACTTCAATTATTCACTCTGTTCCTTTCTTTTCTCTTATCTCGAATTTTCAGTCATATCAAAATGTAGAATAATCACAAGCCTGACGATTGGAAGAAGCCTGACTGAGCCTGACGAAAATAAAGTGATGCTCTGAGCCGCCTTTTTTATATTCCTAAAAATGTGGAACACGTAAGATCTTTAACATTTCGAGCTCCTCGTTTCTTTTTTTGATCAATATTCCCCCCAACAGTAAATATACTTATAAAAAACAACAACACAAACTTGTCACATTTATTTATTCAAAAGTTTCTTTGCTTTTGATTTTTGCGGTTGGAAGGGTTGGAATGATCTTCATATTCTGGACAAAAGGATTTTGGATGGCGGGTTGAAGCATAATGCGGAGTTGAATGAATACCAGCGGAATTTGAATCACGACGAGTTCTGGGAGAACTTGAATTCGAAATTCTACGGGTTCTGGAAGATCCCAATCTCGAAATATGGCGAGTTCTAGACGACGGCGAATTTGAATTTCGTCGAGTTGTTCTGGAAGACCTTCTATTCAAATTCCGACCAGTTCTGGAAGAAGGCGACGGCGAATCACGGGTTCTCAACATTGGCGATCTCAATCTCGATCTGAAAAACATTCATGCAAATAAAATTGTTTTCAAAATTGGAAAGCTTATGTTAGTTACTTACACTTGTTGGTATTTCAAAGGTCGTCCAGATCTCGATCTCGATTCAACTCTTATATTTGTCTTTCCCTCGCATTTTTTCAATTTGTTGGATTATTCATCTGACATCTTTTTCTGATTTCTGTATTCTGGTGAACGGCTCGAACGATCAATTTGATTGGAATATTCTCGTTGAATGCGATCTTGCTCAATTTCACGATAAATTCGGCTTTCTTGATGCGATTGGAACACGTAGTATTGTTGTATTTGCGGGCGATGATAGTGACAGCTGTGCTTGCAAACTGCTGCATCGGTTCGGTGGTGGAATTCCTCTTGCTTGTATTCGTTCTGATTATCCGCTACTCTTCTCTTCTCTCTTGATTGATATGTTGTCATTTTCGCGGTTCTAGTAGTGCGAATTTCTATAATAAATTTTCGAAAATAAAGTGATGTTCTGAGCCGCCTTTTTTATAGCCCCAAAAATGTGGAACACGTAAGATCTTTATCATTATTTCATCGAAACAATGTCACGTTTCAAAAATCCGTGTTTCATTGTTTTGGGATGAATAAAAATCATTTTCATTTTCTGTTTTCTGGTTATTTTTTTGTGAAAAATTCAGAAAATTTGCAATTTTTGGTTTATGGTTTGTGAGTTTCTAAATTTTCTGTGATTTTCAGCCGAAAAATCCTGAAACTTTCACAAAAATCCACATTTTTTCAGATTTGCTCGAAACTCTGCTCAATTCTTCATTTTTTTCTTTTCATGCCGTTTTTATTTTGTCAGTTTTATTTTGTATTGTTCCGAAAAATCAAAAATCCGTAGTTTTAATTGGAATTTTCTTGCAGATACTATTTCGAAAAGAATTCTGCTGTTATTTTTCCGGTCCAATGTATTTGCTGCCAGCTGAATATTTTGTATGTTTATGGGATTACTGTAGGTCAAATTTTGCATCAAAAATGCCCTAGAAACTCAAATGTTTGAGCTCAAAAGCAAAAAATGATCTATGGGCTTAATTTTTGGTCTAAACCCCGGTTTTTTTGAGCTCAGAAGCTTAAAAATAACCAAGAAACCTGTATTTTGAAATTAGGACCTTGAAAATGGTAAAGGAAGCCTTTAAAAGCCTGAAATTTGAAAAAAAATCGATTTTGCAAGTTTGTGAGCAAAAATTCGCTAAATTTTGTTAAATTTCGAGAGAAACAGCTATTTTTTGCCCGAAAACCTGAATTTCAGTGAAAATTCGAGGTTTTTCAGCTGGAATCTTGAAATAAAAATTGCTCTGAATTTTTCTAGCTTTAAATTTGAATTTTTCAAGAAAATTTGAAGAAAAAATCGAATTTTTGTGTTACAACCCTGATAGTGGGTGTAAACATAATATTAGAATATTAGTGCACACATAAATACTAAAAGATTTATTTACATAATAGGAGAGTAGTCCAGCCCAGAATGCTTCCAGCGGCGCTTTATATAAGCGTTCTTATCTGATGAATATATGGAACACGCTGAGGCTGATTGTCGGTCACGTCAGATATTTGCAAAGCTAATAATGCTTATGCAACACTTCCTTTTGTTTATAAGTCGATTGACCATATCGATCTTCTGCATACACGTCATATTGATTGTGCAGCATTTTCCAAAATACCAACAATGCGTTGATAAATGGATACCATTTGGAACAATAACTGGTAACGAAATACCAACAATGCGTTGATAATCTCCAGCATATTTGATTGAAGCCATTTGGTGAATATCCAACAATGCGTTGAATATATCCAGCGTTATTAATTGAAACCAAAGGCACATCGGCTGATTGCCAGCATATTTGATTGATACCATATGGAACAAGAGCTGGGGTGGCATGGAACATTGTGGTGGTAGGGCATATAAGCAGCATAGTGCACCTCTGACGATTGTCCAAATGCGGATCAAAAGGAGGAAACGATGGCCATAGTCATTAGTACGACACATCGAACCACTACCATAACTCCACAACTGAGACTCCTCATACTCCTCCTCTTCTGTAGAATGTGCACGATAGGTGGGGCACAACATCCAATAGCTGGTGTTGGCACCGCAAAAGTTGAACTGTCCTGATCGCCAATTGTTACAACCCTGATAGTGGGTGTAAACATAATATTAGAATATTAGTGCACACATAAATACTAAAAGATTTATTTACATAATAGGAGAGTAGTCCAGCCCAGAATGCTTCCAGCGGCGCTTTATATAAGCGTTCTTATCTGATGAATATATGGAACACGCTGAGGCTGATTGTCGGTCACGTCAGATATTTTTGCGGCTTTTATACCAGGCGCAACACTTCCTCCACTTATAATAGAATAAGTCTTTGATTGATCGGGTGGACGATATTTGTGTGCTAATCCATTGGGATTTTCCCGCGTGAGTTCGAATCTCATCCTGATCGCCAATTGTTACAACCCTGATAGTGGGTGTAAACATAATATTAGAATATTAGTGCACACATAAATACTAAAAGATTTATTTACATAATAGGAGAGTAGTCCAGCCCAGAATGCTTCCAGCGGCGCTTTATATAAGCGTTCTTATCTGATGAATATATGGAACACGCTGAGGCGCTATATGGAACACGCTGAGGCGAAGAAATTTCAGGATTTTGATAGAAATCTAGAATCTTATTCTCAAAAATTAATTTGCAGACCACCGTGGTAAATGAAAATGATTTTTTCCAAAAGCAGTTAGGAAGGTCCCTAAGGTAGATTAGAGAATTTTAAAGGGTCCCTAAACGTGTTTCGACTCAAAATAAGCCGATTTCTTTGCAGAATGTTCGAAATTTTGATGGCTCATGGACACAAAACCCGACATTAACAAAGACAAATCGAAATATTTCGGCAAAATTGGTGTTGCAATGAACGAGTTCAAGAATCAAGAAGAGTAACGAGCCTGATTTCTTTCCAATATTTTTGAAACGTACTTTTTCCACCAGAACATTTTTGAATGATATTTTCTGATTTTTTCAGAATTTTTGAAATAGGAGAAATCGAGATTCGTAACTGAATGAATGAAGATTGGCTGAAATTGTGTTGTTTTTTTATAATAAATTTTTGATTTTTTTTTGTCCAGAGGGGGTCTGGCGAAGTTTTTGAAAATATAACAATTTACACCCCAAAAACCAAGTTTTTTCTCTTTTTTTAAGGGGATCTGGCTAATTTTTGTATTTTCACATTCCGGGGGTGGCTAATTTTGAGGCCCTGACCGGGAGAAACTGATGTATGCTTTTGAATGACAAAAGGGAAGATCGGACGGAAATGTTGGGAGACCTTCGAAACATCAAAAAATGAAACGTGACATTGTTTCGATGAAATAATGATAAAGATCTTACGTGTTCCACATTTTTGGGGCTATAAAAGAGGCGGCTCAATGAATATCACTTTATTTTCGTCATCCTTCTTCTAATCGTTCTACCAATTGCTTCTAAATGTGCGAACAACCTGGGTAAGAGAAAAGAAAGGAACAGAGTAATTTATTGAAGTATATATTCTTTCAGATCGAATTCCAAGCAAGTCATTAAGATTTGTAAGCATTCTTGCCACTTTCATCATCCGCAAGAATCACCGAAAATAATAATAGTAGGAACAATGAGCATTTGTGTTGTTTTTTTTAATAAATTTTTGAAACGTACATTTTCCGGCGAGTTTCTTTTGAATGAAAAAAAGGGAAGATTGGACGGAAAAGTTTGGAAGAACTCCGAAACATCAACCGGTGTAAGTAATTAACAAAAGTTTTCCAATTTTTTGAAAAAAAGTTTTATTTACATGAATGTTTTTCAGGATTTGATCGCCACATTCTAACTCTTATCGCCGGAAAACATCGAAGCCGCAGAAGCACGCTAATAATTTCAGATATTTTAAGTCATTTTTTGTGGCTGAAAAAGTTTTCGGAAAACTTTTTTTTCTTGATCAAATCTTCCAGAAAAAAGTTCAAAAACATTTCCTGGCTCAAATTTTTTGCTGAAAATGCTGAACATACTTCAAATTGCTAAAAATCAATGTTTCCAGCGTTTTCATCAGAAAATTTAAGTCTAGAATGTTGATCTGATTAAATTCTTGAAAATAACCCCTTTGACCAAAACCTTCACTTCAAAATCATTTTCTGATCAAAATTTGATGCTGAAAATTCTGGAAACATTTATATTAGCTGACAATCGATATTTTCATCATTTTCAGCACAAAATTTGGATCAGGAAATGTTTTTGAATTTTTTATGGAAAAATTGATCAAGAAAGAAAATTTGTGAAAAAATTTTCAGCCACAAAAAATGGCTAAAAATATCTGAAATTTTTAGCTTTAATTTTGCCACGTGTACTCTACAGTAATCCCCTCAAAAATTCTGAAAAAAATCCAAAAAATATTCCGATTCACAGTAACTTTCAAACAACAGTAGCTACAGTAATTCATTGATCTACAGTACTCTAAAACTAAAGTGAATTGTTGACCTGAAAAATGACAGTTTGACTAGAAAATATATATTTCGCCACGTGGATTCTTCTACAGTAATCCTTTCAGAGAAAAAAACATTTTTTTTCGAGAATACCATTTTTTGTTCAACTTTAGCTTAAAGCTTGGTTGATTCAAATATGAAAATGTTTATTTTTGCTTTTTTAGTCGATTTTTGAGAATAAGATTCCAGATTACTATCAAAATCCTGAAATTTCTTCAAAAATTCGATTTTTTCTTCAAATTTTCTTGAAAAATTCAAATTTAAAGCTAGAAAAATTCAGAGCAATTTTTATTTCAAGATTCCAGCTGAAAAATTATTCTATGGAGTAGTGAAAACCAGCTAACACTTAATGAAACAAAAACTATTGTCACTACAGTAGGTAATCAAAAAATAAAATATAATTATGTGGTTAATAATAAAACAATAAAATTCGATGAAATTGTTCGGGATCTGGGTTTCTATATTTCCAAAAAATTAGATTTTTTAGAGCATTGGCAAAAGGCTACAACAAAGGCAAATTTCATTACTTATCAAATATTCAAAACTTTTGAAAGTAGAGATGTAAAATTCATGATTCATTTATATAAAACATTTGTTAGACCGTTGTTGGAGTATGGTACAATTGTGAGCAACCCATATAAGAAAAACATTCTCAATCTTATAGAAAGTAGCCAAAATAATTTCACGCGTAAATTGTTTTTCAGAATTGAAGGTAAATTTTTACTTCCAAATCATGAAAAATATAAATATGCTGATAAAAGAAATGAAGAATTTGGATTGGTAAGTTTAAAAAGTCGTAGAATTGTCTTAGATAAACTATTCTTGAAAAAGTCAACAATAAAAAAATTGACTTGAATACAGAGGATCTCTTCACCCTGATTACCGATAATGTCACTCGAAGTAACACCAGATATCACTACAAATTGCCTAAATCAAACATTAGAAAAAACTTTTTTGTTCATCGAACATGCTCTCTATAATAATTTCTGTTCTATTTCTTTCCAATGACCACATTTATTTGAAAAATCGCAGCAACAACCCCCGGGCGTCCTATCACTAGGTCCGTATTTTTACCACCGTCCACACCATTTTTTTTTTCTCCCTCAACTTATTTTTTCCACCTATTTTTCTTTTTATTTCTATTATGTGACTATTTTCTTTAATTATTTCTTGTGTACTTAATCACGTTAATAGCGTATAATAAATAAATAAATAAATAAATAAAAAAACCTCGAATTTTCACTGAAATTCAGGTTTTCGGGCAAAAAATAGCTGTTTCTCTCGAAATTTAACAAAATTTAGCGAATTTTTGCTCACAAACTTGAAAAATCGATTTTTTTTTTTCAAATTTCAGGCTTTTAAAGGCTTCCTTTACCATTTTCAAGGTGTCCTAATTTCAAAATACAGGTTTCTTGGTTATTTTTAAGCTCCTGAGCTCAATTAAACCGGGGTTTAGACCAAAAATTAAGCCCATAGATCATTTTTTGCTTTTGAGCTCAAACATTTGAGTTTCTAGGGCATTTTTGATGCAAAATTTGACCTACAGTAATCCCATAAACATACAAAATATTCAGCTGGCAGCAAATACATTGAACCGGAAAAATAACAGCAGAATTCTTTTCGAAATAGTATCTGCAAGAAAATTCCAATTAAAACTACGGATTTTTGATTTTTCGAAACAATACAAAATAAAACTGACCAAATAAAAACAGCATGAAAAGAAAAATGAAGAATTGAGCAAAGTTTCGAGCAAATCTGAAAAAAATGTGGATTTTTGTGAAATTTTCCGGATTTTTCGGCTGAAAATCACAGAAAATTTAGAAACTCACAAACCATAAACCAAAAATTGCAAATTTTCTGAATTTTTCACAAAAAAATAACCAGAAAACAGAAAATGAAAATGATTTTTATTCATCCCAAAACAATGAAACACGGATTTTTGAAACGTGACATTGTTTCGATGAAATAATGATAAAGATCTTACGTGTTCCACATTTTTGGGGCTATAAAAGAGGCGGCTCAATGAGCATCACTTAATTTTAGTCAGGCTTCTTCTAATCGTTCTACCTTTCTAAATGTCCGAGCCAACGTAAGAGAAAAGAAAGGAACAGAGTAATTTATTGACACAGGCAATTACAGATCAGCTTATTATTAGTCTATTATTGACTTATTTTGAAAATAGGTCGAATATAGGCTAATACGGTACCTATTATTAGTCAAAATCGATGCAATTTTCTAAATCAAGCCCAAAATTAGCAAAAGCTGCTCTATGATCAAGTTGAAAGTGAGAAATAGGAAATTACATTCTTCTAATAATTTTAGACGTCCAGAGATCCCTAAAATTCAGACTTATTTTTGACTAATAAGTTACTAATAATTACTAATAAGCTTGTTATTAGTCAAAAATGAGTCTGAAGTTTAGGGATCTCTGGACCTCTGATTGAACTCTAGAATTCTTAGATGAATGTAATTTCCTATTTCTCACTTTCAAATTGATCATAACACGGCTTTTGCTAATTTTGGGCTAGATTTAGAAAATTTCATCGATTTTTGACTAATAATATGTACCGTATTAGCCTATAATAAGCCAAATTTCAAAATAAGTTAATAATAGACTAATAATAAGCTGATCTGTAATTGCCTGTGGAAGTATATATTCTTTCAGATTAGGCTGACAAAAATGAGATTAGGCTGACAAAAAATTAGGCTGACAAAAAAAAAGGCTGACAAAAAATCCAAGCAAATCATTAAAATATGCAAGCACGAATGTGACTACCATAAGCCAGAACCTACACCGACAATTATCTTCATTGGTGTTGAAAAACAAGAAGAAGAGGAAAAAATAAAATTGAGGAAAACAAATGGAACCATTCGAATTCATGAAAAGGAGCAAAACAATCCAGAATCTTCAGACAATCAAGATACGCATCGTCAACGGCTCAATCCACTCAGCAGAAATATTTCCAATATTTTTGAAACGTACATTTTCCACCCGGATATTTTTGGATAATATTTTCTGATTTTGTCAGAATTTTTGAGGGGATTACTGTAGAGTACACGTGGCAAAATTAAAGCTAAAAATTTCAGATATTTTCAGCCATTTATTGTGGCTGAAATTTTTTTCGCAAACGTTTTTTTTTTCTTGATCAAATTTCCAGAAAAAAATTCAAAAACATTTCCTGACTCAAATTTTGTGCTGAATATAATGAAAATATCGATTGTCAGAAAATATCGATAAATTTTTCCAGCATTTTCAGCACCAAATTTGGATCAGAAAATGATTTTGAAGTGAAGGTTTTGGTCAAGGGGGTTATTTTCAAGAATTTAATCAGATCAACATTCTAGACTTAAATTTTCTGCTGAAAACGCTGGAAACATTGATTTTTAGCAATTTGAAGTGATTTCAGCATTTTCAGCACAACATTTGAGTCAGGAAATGTTTTTTAATTTTTTTCTGTAAAGTTTATCAAGAAAAAAAAGTTTGCGAAAAACTTTTTCAGCCACAAAAAATGGCTGAAAATATCTGAAATCTTTAGCTTCAATTTTGCCACGTGTACTTTACAGTAATCCCCTCAAGAATTCTTGAAAAATCAGAAAATATCATATAAAAAACCCCTTCCAACCGCAAAAATCAAAAGCAAAGAAACTTTTGAATAAATAAATGTGTCGAGTTTGTGTTGTTGTTTTGTATATATTTACTGTTGGGGGAATATTGACCAAAAAAAGAAACGAGGAGCTCGAAATGTTTGATATCATATGAAACATTTTGCCCTTCTCATCTTGAAAAAGCTATTTTCCAACGAAATTGGTCCCTAGGGGTGCTTAGGCTTCAAAATCATGATTTAATAAAAACATTTGATCAAAAATGGGTTGAAAATGATTTTTTTAAACTTCAAAAATCTTAAACTTTGAGCCAAAAACTTTGAAAAAACACGAAAATGAAAAAAGCCATGAAAGTGCTAAACAACGGGCAAGCCGTCATTTGCGGAGTGTCGTTGCACACAATTGTTATTTTTTCGTGGAACATCAGGCGGCTCAGAACATCACTTTATTTTCGTCAGGCTCAGGCTCGTCAGGCTCAGTCAGGCTTCTTCCAATCGTCAGGCTTGTGATTATTCTACATTTTGGTATGAGTGAAAATTCGAGGTAAGAGAAAAGAAAGGAACAGAGTAATTAATTGAAGTATATATTCTTTCAGTTCTAATAATTGCAAATTAATTTATGTGTGCAAACATGAATGTTCGTTTCATGTTGCACAACCAACTCCAAAAATTGTTTTTATAGGTGTTGAAAAACAAATCAGCTCAATCCACTCAGCGGAAATATTTCCAATATTTTTAAAACGTACATT